ACATATAATAGTTTTTATTAAAAATGAGATATTAGAAAAAAATGGATTCTTCTACGAGAAATAACTCTTCAGTTCTTATAACAAAACCTGGACACAGAAGTGCTTTGTTGATCAATTGAATAATTTGCTAAAATGAAAATATATCTTGAAATAAAGACTTCAGACAATAATGTACAATTATCTTTGAAACACATATACACATAGAAAATTTTTCATTTTGCTTTCAATCCGTGTCTTTCATTTATTTCTTAAAGAACTAATTAGATTCAGAAGCCAGGCATATTTTATTTCCTAACTTTAAATTCAAATCTAACTCTGAAATGCTAAATAAAAAATTAATATGAAATAATATCTTATAGCATATTGAAATAATGATAAAAGGATTCTAACCAGGTCAGAGAACTTTAAAATATTAACCACTTTCTTAATAAGTAATCCCTTAAACTATTTCAGTTTATTCATCCCTATATTCAAAGAGTTTGAATTGATATTAATAAAGTATTTGTATCTACTTTATTCTTAGGTTTTTCTGGTTTATACACTTTTTTTGGAGCAAAAACAGATAAAATTGTGTTTGAGACAAACACGCATTACATGGGAACTAGAGTTATGTCAATAAAACATTATCTTTGGAGGTCTTTCTCTGAAGCTTACCCATATTAAGTGACAGAGCTGACTTGCTTTTGCCTGACTTAATGTTTTAAAAGCAAAGTTAGAGTTCTAGGCTTTTCTTTTTTTGGCATATATGAGTTCTATTGGAAACAACATAACACTTGGATATGAAAAAGTTTCCAGATGGATGCAGTTCATAAAATGTTTAATTTGAAAAAAATTAAAGCCACCATCCCTCTAGCAGTGAAATGATTAAATATGTTGTATGACACTTTAGAATTATACATATTTGAAATATAGGTTCCTTTTAATATGTCATTTCATTTCTATAAAAACATTTTAAGAAATGTTATACTTCATATGAAGACAATATGATATGGAATATAGTGCTGATGTTTCCAAGTTGTCATGGTTACCTACTTGTCACATCATATTTCTAATTAATGCACCTTTGCTGTCAGCTATAGAGCAGCACAGAAAAACTTTGGAAGTCAACACTCACCTGAGAAGGCCAAAATAAAAATGTCAAAAATGATGGCATACAATCAGATCTCAGCTCAAGTTTGACACACCACTCTTTTTCCAGAACCCAGAAATTTTCAGAATTGATGAAAAATAAAACTTTGAGTTGAATGTGCAACAGGAAATGAAACCTATCTTTCCATCTCTTGGAGGATTACCAACCAAGTCTTCTACATCAGATCTGCTTCCAATTCTTTCTTAGGCTCCAAAAAGGAAAAAAGTAACACCCCACAGTGACAGTGAGAGAATAAAATAATAGCTACCTACTTACTTAATCATTCCTCTTTGGTTTTAATTAAGTATTTATTGTTTGCTTTATTTTATAAAAATATGATGATAAATTCAAGTGACATACTATCATAATATGTATGCCCAATGTGGTGGAGTGAATGAAACAAAGCGAGAATAATATATTTGTGTGAATAAATTAGTGTTCATACTTTCATTTGCTGGAAAACAGATAAAATTTCCCCCAAATTGTTCAGTGACTCATTTAAAATTTAAGATTTTTTAAAATTAATTCATAAACAATTTAAAGACATATTTGCAAGAATGGAAAAAGGAAGGGTAATGATTTAATATATGCAGCAATGTACAGAAAAAGTTTATGCTTTATTATTAAAACTCAAAATATGCATGCGGATATTTAATAAAATGTGCTTTCAAACCTATATGTTTTTGAAAATATTGCATTAAATAAATTTTTAAAAATCACAGTCTCAATTATTTGTAGTTCATCTTTGTGAGATATTGTCTGTCTCAGGAATATATATATATATATATAACAATTTAACTCTGTTTAGTTCATAATATCCATGCTCCTAAAAAAATTTTTCGTTGTACAAGTTCTATGCTTCCTTAGAACATCATACCAAGATATCTCTAGAAGTCATTCAGAGAGACATCTCTCCCATTATATTAATTAGTTAATTGTTAATTTTCATATTAGTGTATTTTTATAAACCTTATGATCTAATTTAAGCAAACATTTTAATGAACTTTCCATTTGATACACTTAATAAGTGATAATATTATGCTCATTTTTAAAATTATGTAGAATAACAATTCTCAAAAAATTATTAATTACAGATTTATATGGAAAGATAGCACAAGGCAGGAAGATAACAAATATTTCCTTAACAGTAGGTTTTTTTTTTTTTTAATTTTTTTTGATTTTTTTTTTTTTTTTTTTTTTTTTTTGTCTTTTTCGTTTTTATCGGTACCAGGGATCCAACTCACGACATCACACTTTCAAGGCAGGCGCTTATGCCGCTGAGCTGAATCCCCAGCCCCTACAGTAGGTTTTCTAAATGAAATTACTTAAAAGAAAAATCAATACAGTTCTCTTATTATTACAAAGACAAAAGTAAATTTATCTTGGCTCAGTGCAGTACCTGGGACATTTGATTTGCAAAAATATTAGAAGATAGAATGAATTAAATTTTAGAAAAATAAAATACTTTTCAGACTAAAACAAACTCATGAAATTCACATTTTAATAGTGAATTCATAAAGTAGGAAAACTAATCATTGCTACATTATTCTTAAAATTAATGAATGATTTGCCAGAGAGAAATAGTTCAAAGATGAAAGTATGCTCAGAGAAATTATGTGATCATACACATTTATGTGCACATTACATGTATTAAATATGTACACAAACACACGTGTATATTTGTAATGTGAATGAACTGACTAGTAAAGTAAAACTAGAAAATATTCAGAGCGTGACTATCTGAATTGCCATTTCTGCATCTACATCCTTTCTGCTTTCTCATCTTTACTCTCAGTTACCTCTCAAAATGACAAATCTATGCTCCTGGTTACATCTAGAGGCACTGATGTCAGTGGAATTATCTGTGTTCGCTGGAATTCAGTGAAATTTCTCAGTCGTTCACCTCAAATTCTGTTTGGTAAAAGGCTCTTTGGAATCAGATAAGATACAATGAAAAAATACCTACTAAATATGTGACAAGAAAATTCTTTTAATCACAGTAAAAGATCAGAGATTTTTAAAAGTATGATTACGGTTATGGTTTGAAAGGTGTACAAAGTTTTCATGCATCTAAATTAATATCACCACAAAAGAATACCTATAAATTCAATGTCAAAACTTTATTTGAAAATACAACTACTGGAACACATACATGAACTATTACAATAATTTGAGAGATTGAATTCTCTACAAAAGTATGTGTTTCATCTACAATTCCTAATGAAATTTAGCCATTTACTATTTTCTAGTCAACTGAGTGTTAGATTCTTCAAATTGTAAGTACATTTTTCACGTAAATTATAATCTAATACCACAATATGCTAATAAACATACATTTGTAGAATAAGATTTAACACTACTACTGTATAAGCTAAAAGAATTTAGAACCTTGTTTTATGTTAGGAAACTTTCAAACCTGACTTTTAGAGACAAAACATTGAGAGACTGACACATAATCAGATTTTTACTTAAATCTTTGATTTTTCTATCTACCACTTCATGATTATGAAATCAATATGACAACAAATACAGCAATAGTCACACTGCCTTGAGAAGATAGCACAGAAATCGCAAACAAATCACAAATTATGATGATACTCAAATAACAAAGAAATACTTATGCTGATTACTTGATAGAAGTATTACTTGGAAACAGATAACATGAAAGAACAAAAAATAGGGCAACAGTAAGACCAAGAAGTAATAAATTATTTTCCTCCACCAAATGTTAGCTAAAATATGAATATGCCATAATGCTGTTTTTCCAAATTTCCCAGACAATTTACCATGTCAGTGAACAAAGTCCAGCATAAGGGAGTATTCAATGGTGGATATTTTGTGATATGTGTATAAGATATAAACAAATTTGTCTTTAAGTAAAAAAGCAACTTTCATTTCACAGTTTTTTCTTTCACAACTAAGATCACATTCCTTGAGGTGGTATTGCCATACTTCATTTATATTTTGTCAGACTAGATATCAGCAAACTCCCTTTCTTTGTACGGGACAATGATATAACTGAGAATTTCCCACAGTGAGCTATCGTTGTAAGTCTGTGTATTCATCCATGAGTTTAGATTGGTACAAATGACAACTGAAATACAAATATCTTCCAAAACTATGTAGATTTTGGTTATTTATGATCTTTGCTTTCTGCCCGAATCTACTGTGAGATCTATGCGTGACATCCTTATTCACACTCAAAGTCACACTGAAAGTCTAACTTTCCATTAAGCCGTGTAATTTTGGAAGCATTCACATATTTCCAAATGGAAAGTTTGTACATCAGACTCATTAAAGATAATGCAGCCTGTATCCTGGAAGTACAGCTCTTAGCTAATCAACATACACATCGCCAAGGAAATCTCCCAGTGCCTGACTCATCATTCATAATATATCAGCTTTGCAGAGGCAAAAGGGCTCACTGAAATCTGATTACTATGATTAATTTTATATAATGCTCTACTGGCAATAATAATAAAAACTTTTTTAAAACTTTGTAATTCTGATATCAAAGTAGTCCATTTAAGCACTAGACTTTTATTTGCTGATTTATGGTTTTTCAATTAAACTTTTTCCAATTAAAACTTTAACCAAGTGGAAGGAAAAATTTACTGAATGTCAAATTCATTCTTAAATCCAAATTTCTTACAAAATCTAGTCAATAAAACCACTGGGCAAGAGAACTTATTCAAGTAGTTCCTAATAATATGTTACTGAAATTAGATGTTTTTATTTGAATTTTCAATTCTTCCATTGGTTAGACATTTCATGGTGATCTATTGATCCACAGCAAACACCTTTTATTATAAATTGACCAACCAAATGCAGATTCTGTCAGCTCTGAACTGTGTGTTAATAGATCACTTACATTGCATTCTATTTCCACATATACAAGCTTCCAGGACACTCTCAATGAAGCTGAACTGAAAGAGAAGTAAAGGAAAAATTACGTATTTATAAGGGTGTATTTTTCCACACATGTATGCTTCCTGACTACATTTTGAAAATAACAAAGTAAATTATTTCTACTTTTTTTTTTTTTTTACAATTTATAGCATCTATACATTTCTTTCAGATTAAGAAGAAAGTATGTTATGGAATAATAATGCACAGTTGCTTGATTTTTTGACATTTTAGGGGAATTCTAGTTCTGTTCATGCTATCTTTGTTCAACTCCTATAAGGCATTATGATAGTTATTTTTACACCTGTTATTGTTACACTTAAAAATATATTCATGTAAAGAATTCCCAAAGAATTGCCTTCTTGGAAAGTTACATAGATACCGTAGTAGCAAAGCCAAAGATTCTTTCCAAACTTGTATTGAGATTCAGAAGGGTACCATGCGATCTATTGAGGGGGCAAGTGAAGTAGGCATGGTTTTATTTCTTTCTTCCTAGTTTTATTTATTTTTTCCCATAAGGGAGAAATTAGATGATTAGACAGCCGGTAGCGACAGTAAATGTAGCAGCAGAACTTCTGTCGCCATGGTTACCCCTGTTGGCTTCATCCTGCCAGTTCTCAGAACTAGGTCTCCAGTCTGTGCATGGTGCAAGTTAGGAACATTTTTTGTGTATAAAGAAGTACAATTAAATATACCTCTCTAGGCCAATAGTCTTAAAGAACTGTGTTTAAATAAAACTTATTCTTTCTTTTTCCAATGCAGGTTACATAACTTACAAACTCAATATTCTCTGATTAGGACAATTTATTACTTAGAAATGTGTATACCTAGAATTCAGCACTCACTTTAAGTCTAGGAATATCTGAGTATAAACAAAATAAACCTCTACAAAATGACTGCTCAATTTCATGGGATAATTCATTACAATGGAAGCATCTTCATAGATTATATTCTCATTGAAGCTAAATATAAGAATAGTTCTTTGACTAAACAATATTTCTGATGTTTGGGATATTAGGAAAGGCTTAATTACTGCTGTAGAGAAAAGAAGGAGCTACAAGACTTTCAATTTCCCATTACAGCTAGTATTTAATTTTATGGAGGCATAAAATTGTCCAGTTATCTTCAGAGAATGCAATAGGTCTTTCTCTTTTTACACAAGAATAGCATAATTGACCAGCACACACTGCAGGTATTGTGGCAAGATCAATTTCATGGAAACATTTTGAAAACTTTAAATTGACACAAAAATGTGATTCATTAATCTTGAGGCAACACGTTTGGTTAACAGTATAGATACTGATGACTGAATAGTTTCCCAAACTTTCCCTTAGCAAGGAAACACTGGATAAGATTTGTTCCCTCTGTGTGCGAGTAGGAAAGCTGCGAAGTGAATGTTAATGTTAAAATTGTTAATGTTAAAATGTATTTAGAGCAGAGCATGTTATGGGTTGATAACAGTTATGTTGTCCAAGAAGGGAGATGAAAGGATTCTGGAATTTAATTTGAAACAAATTCTTCCTTATTCTCATGTTGGAGAAGACATAAGTAGAATTAGAAAAGCTAAAACAATTTAAATGCAAAGCCTGTCTGGATACTTAAGGACAGTTCTTATTATTATTCTCACAGTAATTTTTGACAGCAAGAACCTACTATATATCTAGTACGGATTGAGAGTTCTAAAGTTCTTAGGATCGAAGTGTCTTAGATTTTTACTTTTGGGAATATGTATTAGTGAGATATTTGGGGAGATTTTAGTGAGAGATTAATGAGATATTTTTGGAATAGGACTCAAGTCTAAGTGCAAAATTCATTTACATGGACTTTACACCTCATACAACTAGGCTGAAGATAATTTTATATGATATTTTTAAAGTTTTCCACATGACACAAAATTTAATGTTGTAGAATTTTCCACTTGTGGCATCCTGTCAGCAATTCAAAACTTCAGACACTGAAATACCTTGGATTTAGAGTTCAGGATTCGTGATGCTTAGCCTATTGGAATAGTTACCACACTCTTAACTTGATACTTGACCAATTTGGAATGGGCTGAATTTGGTATTTGACTCATTTGAACATGAAAATTTTGTCAAGGTATTCATTATTCACTACTCAAGGTATGAGCTAGAACTTTTGGTATAGATTGACTTTGACTCACCCTTTCCAGTCAAAACAACTTTTTTGGTATTTTTTGCGCCTTTGAGAAACAATTAACAGCCAGTAAGTACCTCTGTATAATCTTTATATATTGTTTTCTTTTGGCATCATCATAATCCTTTGAATAGAACTTATTTTTCATTCTAAAAATAAAGGATTGTGCTAGCAAATGGTATCAATAAGACAAACTACCACTTTTATGGATGTTTTGGGTAGATTATTTTCAGCTTCAAAGTTGAATGAACAGAACACTAACTTAGAGTGCATTGTAGTTTCCAAAATTAAGGCGGTTGGGATTGCTGTCTTTTGGACCAGCCTGTCAGATAGAGAAAAGCCTCAGAAGACCATAATAACACAACTGAAGTAGTTCTATAATAAGACATAAAAGTGGCAGTTAATGATTCATGGATCACATGCCAGCAATCTGTCACTTCAGATATCACTGTCTGCATCACAAAGAAATCTGAGCAGGCTTATTCAAATGTACAGTTTTTATAAAAAGTTCTGAATCATGTACTAAGAAGGGTGGAAACAGCCAGTGGAGATGGCATAATGAAATAATTGGAGGTAAGATGAAAATCCTTCCAATTTTTAAAGGATATTGCAGAAAGAAGCAATAGCAATAAAGGGCACCATTCTGCAAGTTAAAGACAGACTAAGAAGATAGCATGGAGGAGGGTATTGCCATCTTCAAATAAAGAATAAACAAAGATAGATAAACAAAGAGAACGGAGCTCTGCAGTTACCAACTTTCCTTAGAAAAAACAGATGAAGAAAAGTGAAAGTAGATGTAGAGAGTTTTAAAATTATGCAGTTAACTTTCAGACAATATCGTTAAAATGGTTACTTACACTTGTATTCTCTAACACATTAAATGCAGATCACTGAGGCCTTATTTTCGATTACCCACACTCAAGTTTTTAAAGACTCACAGTATGGAGATGTTTAATTTTGATTAAAGAAAACTGTTCAAGGTCATGTCATCCAAGCACTGGTAAGTAGCAAGTAAAAAGGCTTTGGTATCTTTTTGAGAAAGTCCTAAAGGTTCATCCTAGTTTCAAAGTTTCAAGTGAAATACTCTGTTTAATCCAATATTTTCCATTTGCTTAAAAGTTTCCCAGTAATACACCCCAGTGATGTGCCTTCACTCAAATCTCCACATAAGGGCCTCCTCTCATTCCTGATATAATGTATGATGTGCTAGAAGCCTTTGTGATGAGTCAATCCTTGATCTCTGAATTCAGACAAACGAAATAAGTTTATTAGTTCTGTACTTGCAATCTGTTTATATTGTGGAAGTTCCTCATTATAAAGTGGAGAAAGCAGTATGACTTTTAACCACAGGGTTGCATTGAACACTAAGACACATACTATATGTCACCATATAAATGCTTAAGAAATAATACTCAAGTGGCATTTACAAAAGTAGTATCTATACTTCTTTTAATTGTTATGTTTAAAATAAATAGATGATTAATTGGTATAGCTCTTGTAGAAAAACAACTCCAGCCATCCACTGGCATATTCAAAGTATAAATGAAGCAGACAGAACTTACTTCCAGTGGAATTTCACAAGTCTCTGACATCACTGTATGGATGAAAAGTTAGCAACAATCAACAAATTGAATAACCGCTCTGATGACTTCATATTCTACTTCCCACACATTCTGCTACAGTTTTCTAAAAGGTCATTTTTGTAACAGTCCACATTTTTTTCAATTAATGTCAGACCTTCAAAAATGTAAAGCACAGGCTGAGAAACTGAAAGCTAAGATTAGTAACGAAGTTGAAGATTAAACAATTGGAATGATATTTATGTCCTAAGTAATATTAATCCATAAAATATTTTATACAAGCTAAAGAATAATAAAATTTTTAGTAGCTTAAGAACATTCAAGTCAATTTTTACTTATGTGAATATCCTTGATTTTAGATTCTTTATTACAAGCTGTTGATGAAACTTGAAGCCAAGCCAAGTGGTACTTAAGTCTTGCTTTGACCACTTTATTTCAAAAACCTCTTAGCCCTAGACCTTCAGAGACCAAAACATAAGAAGCGAGCCCTAGCAGTGAGAGAAATGTTATCATGCAAAAGAGTTATTTAATTAATTTTCTCTGCCATGAAATTTTTCCTGGGCTATGCAAATAGATTCATTCTTACCACACCACCCAAAAAAGAAATGACATAGAAGCATCAAATAAACATAGCCCTCTAGAAATTGTGCTTTCAGTTCAGAAAATACCTTCCATTAAATGAGTTTTTTATACTGTTTTCACCAAATAATTATAGTTAGAGATAACAGAGATACAAGCAAGCATAGGTTATGTAATCCAAATTTATATTCCTCCAGTACCCAAATAAATTCAGAGGTTGGTCAGGATCTAGGAATACGGACCAGTTTGCTCATTGTATAATTTGGGGTATGTCACTAGACCATAATAAAATAAAACAATACATGATTCTAATCTTCGAAAGCCTAATGCAATTTTGTGTATACTCAAGACTAACTTAAAGGTAACATGTTATATGGACATTAAATACAGAGAACAAGAAAGCAAAATGAAGTACAAAAGGTCACAAGTGCAAGACGTAATTGCTACGGTCCAAGGAATTCAAAGAAACAGGATACACTTTCTTATACATCTGCTTCTGTGTCAAGGAAAGGGCAATGAAGCATCCTCAATTTCTACCACTGATTGCATCGATTTATTACCACGAGTGGAGCTTCCAGCTTCTACGTACTCGCCTGTATCTTTGTTTTACAAATAGATCTGAATCGGAATCAATGCAACACTATGGATTTTCCTGAAACAAAATTTTTCTTGCAGGAAGAAGAAACTCTGACCATAAGTAAAGTGGC